TTCACTTCTGTACTCATATTTATGATTGCACCACTGTATAGAGGAATACAGCAGCGTATAACCATACGCAGTGTGCACACTCTAGTGTGGGAAACAGAGGGTTAGCAGAATGCCACTAGAGGACAAGATCATTTTTTCAATAAATTTGTCATATTGTGACACCAGCAATGTTTATGTTAAAGATAAAGCAAGTAGAGGGATGAATGGATGAAATACACAGACATCCTGCAATCCTTTCTTCCTGTCAGCAAGTCTCTTTAAGAAACACGACTTCTGCATGAAGTCTGTGTTCTGTCTGTCCTGCTGTGGATCTTTACCATAAGGCGTGCTGCTGTCAGAATATAGCATGAATGGATTGGATAAAGGATCTTGTCCTCTGCTGCTGCTCTGTTAACCTGTTAACCTTTGTATCCCACATTGTAGAAATGAGCATATTTTCTCCATGTTGACAGAAGCTGTTTCTTTCGCTTTAGACCAAGTGTAGGGAAACACAACTCACGTGGATCAATGGAGGGGCTGTATAATCTGCCTCTTGTAGTCTGTCCTCCATAGCAGGCTGTGTTCTCTCCTCTCTCCCCCCTCCTATCGAACTGCTAGCACCTTCTCCATTTAGAAGTCAAATAAAGTGGGCTGGGAAAGGGGGCGGGTACAGTGCCCTTCCCATTAGTTGAGGAGGCTGTATATCAGTTAACCTTTAATAACAGCCTGCCGGGACTAACTAAAGGTCATTGGCTTTTGTGACCAAAGCCACTATATCCCTCCAGAGCAACAAAAAAGGCCCCAGCACTCTGGCATCAATAGAGAATGTGCAGGTACAATTAAATGAAAAAAAAAAACAATGTGACATATGCAAGTAATGGAGTGCTGTGGGGGTGTATAAATAATGTTTTGGGGTGCTTCAGAACCCCCAAGCACCTGAAATCACCCTTGTATGACACTGTGTATCAGGAACTCTCTCTACCTGCAAACACTCTGTCAGATGTCCCAATCTACTCCAACTCTGCACAAACACTAGCAAAATGCTAGTGTGAACCCTTATTTTTTATAGGGAGGGAGATGCAACCTAACTTCAGTTCAAAGGCATATAAACTGCAATGTAACTGGTTGCAATGGTTCTCATCAAATTAGTTTGCTGTTCCAAACTACAAAAAGATTGAGTTTGGGTAGAACTTATGGACAGCCCAAACATTTCTGTCAGTAATGATCGGAAACCGTGCAAGGGATCATAGATTAATGATCTTTTAGCATGGGGTATTTTGAGAAAAGTAATGTACAGGCTAAGGTTCTGAACTTGTTAAACCCCATTTTAGTATACATACATAGGTGGAAAGATCTGTCACAAAACAAGCAATTACACTTTTCAGCCATGGTGGCAATTAATTGTGCTATACTGTTGTTTTCTGGCCCACCTACGGAAAGGGACCCATATTTTTGATAGGCCTTTGTTATGCCTTTGGCGTCTTTGTCACCCTGACAATTTTTTGGGTGTTTGCCATCTGCCTGAATTTCAAACTAATTGTACAATCATATCTATTTTAAAGGGTCCTCTGTCCACCCACTACATTTTGCTTTTGATGTAGCAGATCAGCCTACATTGAGCAATAGGCATATATTGCTCGGGGAAATATACATAGCAATGGTGCACGCTTGAAGATCAAATACCACACACACACACACACTTGGACTCACCTATGGCTAGAATCTTAAATCTAGTAAAGTAATTCAATGTAAGCTTTAATATGTGTTGTGGACATAACTAATACAACTTTATGGTTTATTTACTTAGCAATGGAAGTTGCTCTTTACCTTTGTTGTACAAGCTTTTTTATACTGTTCCTGTAATTTATGCAAAGTTACCCAAGCACTGTGAACTGTGCTTGCCAAGATGTGTGACTTATTGAAGAGTGAGGAAGAATGACTCTGTCAGCTAAGTCCGTGAAACATGACTAACTACAAAATGTCAAGAATCGCGTATGTAAAGCATCCTTTGACAGTAAGAAGTATGAAAGGAACAGACAAGAATCATCTTGTTGTACAATTATATCTAAATGGAGAAAGACAGCATTAGCAATATAATGTTTTACTAAAATAATCAGCATATCAGGTATTACTATAAATGATTAATTAGTATACAATTGTTTAAAATAATATACATGGTATTAAAAAAAAATATATATATACCTAGAATATCTGCAATATAAGTGCTTATGATGAAAAAATGTTTATATGCATAGTGAAAAAATATTAGTAGAGCTCGTTATGAACTGAAATTCAACTTTTCAGGCATTTGGATTAAATATGATCTTTAGGGATGTTCAGCTGGAGTTGATCCGCTAAACATCCTATAATGCCTTGCCAAAATCTCTGGTTAAGTGTAAGACTTAGGTCAGTGATAGCTTTTAACACAGTCGATCTCACACACTATAAAATGGCTCCTGTCCCAGCAGCCCTTTTTCAGTGTGTAGGGGTTTAGTGTTAGGGACAGCTGCAAAGAGATAATTTGCAATGCAGTGTACTACTACAGCTGTAGAGAACTATTTAGAGTTCTATATTCAGTACTGTATTTTACTAGTGACACCACAAATTGTGGCTAGTGTGGCTAGGGACAGTGAAGTGTAAACCCACCTGCATTCACTGTGCTTTCATGAGACCCAACAATCATTTTTAAGGTCTTTTTTGTTTTGTTTTTGTCTCAGGAATAACCTTTGTTGCTGTGTTGCTGTTGTTCCCCATTTTTTTATTTTTTATTTTTTGGGAGGGGAAGGGGTTCTCTTTATTTTTCTTTAGGTTTTCCTTTTTTCTGTATTAAAAATGTTTTTATTTTGCTTGTAGTGTTTTAATGTTGCTGTTTGGGGTTTTTGTAGGGTTTTTTTTTTTCTTTTTTTGTCCTTTAAATCTATTTTATTTGAGTTTAATATGGTTGGGGTCTTTAATTTTTTTAAAGCTGCCTTCTGTTTTCAGTGGAGCTCCAAATATTATTGTAGTGCACACCACAGTTTTCAAAGTAACCAAGCATCACATTCCCCACATACAAATCTTGCCATAACTGCACCTACAGTCTACTGCCAATTTGGTTCCATTTGATTCAGGGGTTGATAATAGGGTCTTCAACAGTATCTGGGTGCCAGATATAGCAGAGGAGGAAGGTGGAGGAGAGGCACAATATCAGCAAGGTACAATGTTTTCCAGGTATAAGTCGCAGAAGAGTGGGGAGAGCAGCCATCCTATTCCATTGGATGGCAGAGCTCCACAGGTGCAGGGTACTATTTTTTCCCTCAGTCTACTCCCCAGAGCTCAGCTGTGTGGTTTTTAAGCACATGCTGTAGACCACACAGTAGTAATTTTCATTCTCTGCCTAAAGTGCATCAAAATGCATTGATGTCAATTTTCAGTCTCTACCTAAAATATATTGATGGAAATACTATTGGTCATTTTGGGTACTATGTGTATGAAGGGACAATGACTTCTCACTATGCAACTCATTGGGGGCAGCACCTGAACTTTAGCTATCAGCAATAAATGGGCTACACTCCTCATGGAAAGAGGATCAGGATGGTCCCACACAGAGTAGGAGCAAGCATAGGCTGAAACCTTTATATGATTCTGCTAACACCATGCTATCTCCACACAAGTTTTTCTGCTCCAGCTGGTGGAACCATAGACGTTCATCCACAGTCACCTCAATGCTTAATAAATTAATGCCAGCTTGGTAATATTGCTTGCTTTCTGTTATGGAGTTCCGTCTATTCCAGCTGGTGGATTCAGTACTCTTTCTTGAATTTTCAGCCTGTGTTTTACCACAGTGGCAGGTTCCCAAATGCCTTTTATATGCCCATAAGGCCATTCCTGCCCTCCGACATCATATGGAATTAACGTTTCAACATTGCTGGACCGTATAGTCAGCAGGAGGGTTCACAAAACCACAGAAACATGGTCCAGCAGCAGGCAGTGGTATAGGCAGTGACTGTATATATCTTTCATGGCCCATTGGGTAACTCTGCTGGCAGCCAGAAAGGATGCAGTATGGGGCACACCACTGGAGCTGATTGTGTCACTACCCATCCCTACAACTAGTGACAGTGACAGCACAGTTGACTCCATATCCTCCTTTTCCTTCTCAATGCCTCCTCTTCTGATGATTCATCCTACCTAACAAGCATTCAAGGGGCTATGCATTAGCTCACGCAAAACAGTGCCACACAGTGTTGCAGTTACTATGCCTAGGGGACAGGAGCCACATGGTGGAGGGTCAATCATGCTTTTTTTTTTTTTTTTTTTCTTTTATAATTATAATATATTATATTATATATATTATTATATATTTTATATAATATACCCCCCCCCCCCCCCCCCCCCCCCCCCCCCCCCCCCCCCCCCCCCCCCCCCCCCCCCAAAAAAACTATATAAAAAAAATTTATAATTTTATATATATAATATTTTATATATATATATTTTTATTTTCCCCCCCCTATTATCCCCCCCCCCCCCCCCCCCCCCCCCCCCCCCCCCCCCCCCCCCCCCCCCCCCCCCCCCCCCCCCTTTGGGGCTGTTTTGCTTCTGCAGGTAAAGGGAAGCTTCAGCGTGTGCAAGGTACCATGAATTCTCTTCAGTGGTGATGCAGTCCGTCACACAAACCTGAGGCCTTTGGGAGACGTTGGACCTTTCAACAGGACAATGATTCCCAAGCATCACCCATGTCACAGCATGGTTGCAGAGGAAAGGCTGGCCAACATTTTGCAGTGCAGACATTCTGTGAGTTTTGCAGGGGCAGTGTCAGGGCTCCAGGGTATGACCAGAGGTATGTGAACTGATGCAGGGAAACGCAGGCTTCAGATATGTTATAAACAATAAGACAATTTATTAAAGACTAACAATACAAAACATAAACGCAGTGCAATACTAAAAAAACTGCAGTATGCCAAAATAACAAAGTGTGGGCATAACTTTGGAACCAAACCAAAGAACAAGGCCCACAGATAACAATGTTTTGCTTCATACAATGCAAGCGTCGTCAGTACCAGGCAGGCCGGTCGTTAACAAGGACGGTCCTTCTAGCAGGTGGAGTGGCCAGGAAGACTTAAATCCGATTGAGAACCTCTGGAGGAGACAGGCAGCCTAAGAAGTAGCCTTTGCAGGTCGAAGATACCGAGATCGCCGGCAAGACACTTGTGTCAAGCTACAGTTTAAAACTGTAAAAGGATGCTGCAGGTAGGTGACATGTCACTTGGGGTCAGGATAATGCTGTGAGCACAGAGAATGGTCATTTGGGTCACAACTGCCATGTTATATTTGAAACAGGTAAGCAAGAGTGACTGCATGATCAAAAGCAATGTCACTCAATTTCAGTGGATTTTGGCCACAACTGTAACACAGTGGCAAAGGGCATCAGCAACAGGCCGGGAATCAAGGTGCAGGTAGGAACAGGAGGAGGCAGGTACAACAGGAACAGGTAATCAGGCAGAGAATGGTCGGGGTACAAGCCAGGGATGAAACAGGAGAAAGAGGTCCGGATCACAGGGGCCCAGGAAAAAGATACAGGGGCCCACACCAAGGCGCAGACTGCAGGTCTGGCCATCCCCTAAATACACCTGCATAATCAGCTTCAGGTGTTTGGCTGGCTGCAGGGTTGAGTCTCTGATTGCTGGGACCACCCACTGGCCAGCCCTGGTACTGCAGCCCACAAGGCAGGTGAGTCCCACCATTACTGGCAAGTCCATTCCTGACAGGCGGATTTAGAGGTGGTTAACTCCATGCCATCTTGTGCCAGGAAAGGCTATATGCGCAACATCTCCAGAATGTGCCCCTTTTTAACAAGTGATACCACAAAGCTCCTAATTCACTCCTTGGTTATCTCTCTCCTTGACTACTGCAACTCCATCCTCATTGGCTTACCTTTACATAGGCTATCCCCCCTCCAGTCCATCATGAATACTGCTGCCAGACTCATCCACCTTACCAACCATTCAGTGTCTGCTACCACTTTCTGCCAATCCCTCCACTGGCTTCCATTAGCCCAACGAATAAAATTCAAAATACTAACAACAACTTACAAACCCATCCACACAATTCCAGCTACATCACCAACCTCATCTCAAAATATCAACCAAACTGCTCTCTTCAATCCACCCAAAACCTTCTGCTCTCTATTTCCCATGTCACCTCCTCCCATGCTCTCCTCCAGGACTTTTCCAGAGCTTCTCCCATCCTATGGAACTCCTTATCCCAATCTGTCTGGCCATGTCCTAATCTATCCACCTTTAGACAATCCCTGAAAACCTCTGTCTTTAGAAAAGCCTATCCTTCTAACTAGTAAACTGACTTTAATTTCCTCCATCAGCTCATCTCCCACAGCTATTACCTTTTGTATCACTCAACTCTTCCTCCTAGATTGCAAGCTCTAACGAGCAGGGACCTCTGTTTCCTCTTGTACCAAATTGTATTGAAACTGTAATGTCTACCTTCATTTTGTAAAGTGCTGCGCAAACTGTTGGTGCTATATAAATCCTAAATAATAATAATAATGGCACCAACTTGCTGTATTTCATTTGGCAGGGAAAGTTCACACATGTGTCTTGCCTGACACAAACCCTCCACCTGGTTGTGCAGCTCTTCCTGAATAGCTACCTTGGCTTCCATGATCATCTGAGTCAAGCCAGAAGGGTGTGTAGCCATTTCAGGCATTCACCTCCAGCCAGTGTGCGACTGGGTGAAAATCAGCAGGAATTCCATCTGCTCACACACAGCCTGATATGTGATATGCCTCCTTGGTGGAAGTTTATCTTGTCCATGCTGCAGCTGCTGCACATGCATTATCAGGACATAAATGAATACCTGTGTGAGTATTGTACAAGGAAAGACTCAGAAGAGCTGGGTTTTTCTCTCCCAATGTCAGTGGTTTCTCTTACAGGACACATGCACTGTATTGCCACCAGTTTAAGGAGGCAACTATAATGGTGAGCTGTGATAATGATGGCATCAGAGTCACAAATATAGACTGGCTGAACTACTGAGGAGTAGCCTTATACCTTTTTTTCAGGGGCTGGAAATATGGCTTGGGGCCTTCTTTCATTTAAAAGAGAGACAGAAATTGGGGTGACCGCCTAAGTTCAACGTTTAAAGATTTCTCTCTACGCAAGCTATCCACTGCCAGAAACTATCGGCAGTGTCTAGAGCAATTTGTGAATACATTTACTGCTGTGGGGGTGTGTGATTATTCTGCCACCCAAAGTATTTATTTTCTGTACAGCGCAAGTCTCTCTTTTCATTGCTGCAGATCTGAGATAAATCCCACCTCCTTCTAACATTGCCATCTTTTGCCCCATGAGTACACCCAGACACCAGTAACACCTCCTTCTACAAATGTTAGCCAAGGCACTGTTAACAGTTACTACTACTGCTGTAGGCATGCCAACGTTACCAATTCATACTGGACCCATTGTTAATTTGGCATACCCATTTTTTATAAAAAGAAATAATGCTGTTTCATAGTTGCAAAGAATTTACAAAGAATTTACAGTTGCAAGTAATATCCTATGCTCTGCTCAAATACTTCTGTAGGATTACAGTGTTTTACACCACTAAAACCCCAAACCAACTTTATCACTATTGTAAATAATTTACATTTTTGGTCAAGTAAAATCCTGTGTTTGCTTTAAAGTACAACTAAAGGCAAACATTTTTTTTTTTTTTGGATAGAGTGGAGATGTATTAGAATACCTGTTAGGTTATCATTGCTGTCCCTGTTAGATTCACCCTCTTCATTAGTCCTGTTTACTATTTTTGAAAAATGTAAGTAAAAGAAAATCCCAAATTTTGGGTTGTCCCCATAAACGTAATAGAGGGAACATCTTCCAATGGGCCCCACCCTTGTTGTGGTGACCTGGGGACCCCAAGGGATTTTCCTTTTTTTCCCTTATTTTGCAGAGATTTCCTCTCACTTCCTGTTTTGTCTATGGGATATAAAGTTCAAGGAAATCTCCCTAATGGGACTGATGGCAAAAAAACTGACAGGGTTAAAACCCTTCCTTACTCTATCTAAAATGAAATAAAAAGTTTTGCCTATAGTTCTGCTTTAATGTAGCATGTCCTAACAGATATTCTAACTTATCTCTAACTTTTGTCTTTTGTCTCCTTATGGCACAGGAGGAATACAGTTTTTTTAAAATAAAGATTGAGTCTCTGTTCTCTCCCTCTTTAATTGCCTCCTATGGAAAATAATTAGATTTTCTAAATCTGGTGTGTGAGATTTGTAAATTATGTGCCCCCAAAAATAATGGTACAATTGAATATTTCAAAAGATAATATTCTGTGTATGAAATACTTACAATTTTTAACGTGTCTCTAAATATGTACTGTATATATTTATATTATTGTTATGGTTGTATTTGAAATTCAACCATAACATTAAAAAAGATGGGATTCTGTGCATTAAAACATCTTTTTTTTTTCTAGATGCAATCTAATCCAACCTCACGTCCAATCACTATCAAGGTCATGCAGGCTCCACCTCCACAACATCTCCAAGATACTCACCTTCCTCACCCCAGACACTACTAAACAACTCGTACACTCCCCCTCATCATCTCACGCCTGAACTACTGCAACTCCCTTCTCACTGGCCTACCTAAACAAACGCTATCCCCACTCCAGTCGATCCTGAACTCAGCGGCGAGACTCATCCACCTCACCAACCGCTCAACAGCTGCCTCCCCCCTCTGCCAATCCCTTCACTGGCTCCCGATTGCCCAGCGCATCAAATTCAAATTGCTAACTCTGACCTAAAAAGCCATTCACACTGCTGCCCCAAACTACCTAACTGACCTGATACCCAAATACCACCCTACCCGTGCCCTTCGCTCCTCACAGGATCTCCTACTCTCTAGCTCCCTGGTCTCCTCCTCCCACACCCGATTGCAGGACTTCTCCAGGACTTCGCCCATCCTCTGGAACTCCCTACCCCAATCCATCAGACTATCACCTACCCTCCTCACCTTCAGGCACACCCTGAAAACCCATCTCTTCAGGGAAGCCTACCCCACCCTCACCTAACAACTGATCTCCTCTCCACTTCTCCCACCACTCCATCCCCCACAGCCATTTCCTCCTGTACCACTTCCCCTCCCTCCTAGATTGTAAGCTCAAAAGAGCAGGGCCCTCGAACCCCTTGTGTATTGTATTGTTACTGTCTTGTCCCTTGTTCTGTTCCCCTGCTATTGTACAGCGCTGAGCAAACCCTTTGGCGCTATATAAATACTGTATAATAATAATAATAATAATAATAACTGTTCTCTACATCAATGCAATCAGCCTGTACAAAAGGGTATAAAAGCTATGTTGCAAATCTTTGTTTTTTTCTCCCCTCTGTTTAGGAGGAAAAACTCTTTTATTTCTGGGATCTGCAATCTGCTTATTGTATGACTGACACATACAGTAGCCTTTGGTGATAATCTGTTAACATGTACTGCCTTGATTCATGCTTGGCAAAAATGAAATATTTGTCTACTTCTGGATGCAATCTACTTCCTCTCTCCTGCCTTCCTGAAAGAAATACAACCTTAGAGTCAAATCTGTCACGTTTTTCTGTCTTGACTTTATTGATTGAAAAATTAAGCAAGGTTTTTGCTTGCTTTCTCTCCCTCAGAAAATGTGGTCAATTCCAAATAAGGCTTAAAAAGTGTGGTGAAATTTAGATCAATGTTTATGTTTTTAGTTGTTCATACAAAATACCGAAACTTTTGCTCCAGATGCAATATGCATGCTCAATCGCTCAGAAATTGCAGCCTTCCCATATGGGCTTGATATTTGTCATGCAAATCTCTTTAACTGTCCCATCTTTAATCTCTGAAAAAAGACACTCATTTTTTACTTCCATATGCAATGTGCTTGCAATCTCCTTCACAAACGGTGGCCTATCCAATAAAGGCCTAAAATGTGTGGTGATTTTTTTTTTTATTTAAAATGAAGTCACTATTTTTTTGTAATTTCCAGGTGCAATATGCCCACTCAATTGTTCATACATTGCAGAGTGACCATACAGACTTAACATCTCTGGTGCAAAAATCTATAACCTTTTTACATTTTAGTCTTCAAAACAAGTCACCTTTTTTATTCTACATGCAATGTGCTTGTTCTCGCCTTTAGAAACTATAGCCTGTCTGATAAAGGTTTTAAAGGTGTATTTGGAAATGTTTAAATTTTTTTCTTTTACATTTAAAACAAAATAGACACTAATGTTTCATATGAAATGTAATTTGTTTTCTGAATCCCTTAGAAATTGCGGCCCTCCGAAAAGGTTTAATAGGTATGGTGCTAAACTATAACTATTTTCCTTCCACAGTCTATCAGTCAAGACACTCATTTTTTTATTTCAAGATGCAATATGCTTGCCCAGCCACTAACAAATTGCAGCCTGTCCATAGTATTTTAACATCTGTGTTGCAAATCTGTAAAATTTTTCCATTTTTAGTCTGCTAAAAATAAAAAGTATTGTTTCTTTATTTCCAAAATACAATGTGCCTGCTTTCTCAGAAATTGAGGACTATAATAAAAAGGCTTCAATGGTGTGCAGCAAATCTGTGCAATTTTGTATTTTAAATTTGAAACAATAGACACTGTTTCTTTCATTCCAGATACTATATGCTTGTTCTATCCTTTGGAAATTGTGGCCTGTCCAGATAGGCTTAATAGCTGTTGTGCTAAGCTGTAAAATTTGACCCTTCTCAGTTCATGAATTAAGACACAACTTTTTTATTTGAAGATAAAGCTTAAAAGATTTGCTGCAATTCTGTGCAATTTATTTTTTTTCAAATTAGAAACAAATAGACACTGTTTTTCTTTCCAGGTACAATGTGCCTGTTCATTCTCTAAGAAATGTAAGCCTGTCTTAAAAACTTAATATTTGTACTGTTAAATTATAAAATGTTCCAATCTTCTGTCTCTGAATCAAGACATTCATTTTTTATTTCTAGATGAAATATGCCAGCTCACTTTCTCAGAAATTGCCACCTGCCAATGCATGCCTAATATCTTTGTTGCTAAATTTCAAAATGTTGACCTTGTCAGTCTCTGAATCAATATACAAATTTTTTTTATTTCGAAATATAAAATGCCTGCTCAGTCACTCTAAAATGAAAGCCTGTGCATGCATGCTTAATATCTGTGGTGCAAATCTCTAACATTATCCTATCTTGATCTTCAGTCTTCTAAAAAAAAATACATAGATTTTTTGTTTCCAGTTGCAATGTGCTTGCTCTCTCCCTCAGAAATTGGGGTTCATTCAAGAAAGTCTTAAAAGATGTGCAGGAAATCTGTGCAATTTTTTAGTTCTCAATCCTAGGAAATAAACAAGCAGACTATCACAAAAGTTTAAAACGTCTGATGCTAACATGCACTATTTTTCTGTCTTTAGTGTAAAACGCACTGTTATTTATTTAATCAAGATGAAATCTGTGTGTTCTCTCTTCAGCATCTCAGCTAAAATTAGGTAAATAATGCCCAATAAATCATTTCTGCTTTTCTTCTTTGTGGATCTGGAGAATTTCACTATAATTTAGTTACATATAACACCAGCCAAGTCTATCTGTCTTCCATTTTAACCTAGTCAAAACACTTACATGGTGTGACTGTGTCCAAGAAATATTTCTGGCTCTTGACTGTGATATACTGTATAAACAGATTTTGTTCTGAATAGCACACGCCTCATCTTTTCTTCTAACATGGTGCTCAAGTAAAATGCTTGCATAATGTGCAGTGAGTCTGTACAATATTTTATGGCTTAAAAATATATCACAAACGATGCTATGTTGCTTGTTTTGAAATGGTTTGGTGCAGGGGCGGACTGACAACTCATGGGGCCCCCAGGCAATAGGGGATCATGGGGCCCCTGTGTCCATGCCCAAACTCAAAAAAGCTTATGAAAAAGGTACCAGGGGCATCTCATACGACGTCCTCCCTCAACGCGTCCTCCCACAACACGCTCTCCTGCGCACCCCCGGGGGCGCGCACCTGGCGATCTCCGTGATCGCTCTGTCCTAAGGACACAGCTGATCACATGATGTGGTAAAAGGCCAATCACAGCGACCTTTTACCACGTGATCAGCCGTATCCAATGACACGCTGATCACCGGGAAATGCAATTGCCGGTTCTCGGCTGCACTTTCCTCACGCTGTCAGAGCGTGAGGAAAGTACTGTCGAGAACCGGCAGTTGTCAGAGCAGGGATCGGCACCGATCATCAGGGCACTGATGATTAGTGCCCTGATGATCGGTGTCCAGCAGCGCCACCCACCAGTTCCGCCCACCTGTGCCCAGCAGTGCCGCCCACTAGCTCCGCCCACCTGTGCCCAGCAGTGCACCCACCTGTACCCAGCAGTGCCCAGCAGTGCCACCCAGTAGCGCCACCTACCTGTGCCCAGAAGTACCACCTACCTGTGCCCAGCAGTGCCACCCACATGTGTCCACCCACCTGTGCCAACCAGTGCCACCCATCAGTGCCCATCAATGCAGCCCACCAGTGCAGCCACCAGTCAGTGCCCAGTGGTTGTGCCAGTCAGTGCCCAGCAGTTGCGCCAGTCAATGCCTAGCAGTGCCACCAGTCAGTGCCCAGCAGTGATGCCAGTCAGTGCCACCTATCAGTGCTGTCTATCAGTAGCCATCATCAGCGCCGCCTATCAGTGCCACCTATCCTTGACACCTCATTAGTGCTGTCTATCAGTGCCGCCTATCCGTGCCACCTCATTAGTGCTGCCTATCAGTGCCGCCTATCTGTGCCACCTCATTAGTGCTGCCTATCAGTGCCGCCTATCAGTGCCCATCAGTGCCGCCTATTAGTGCCCATCAGTGCTGCCTCATCAACGCACATCAGTGAAGGAGAAAAATTACCTGTTTGAAAAATTTTTATAATAGAAACAAAGAAACTTTTTTTTTTTTTTTAATTTTTTGCACACTTTTTGTTTATAGCGCAAAAAGTAAAGCGCCCAGCAGCGATTAAATACCGCCAAAAGAAAGCTCTATTTGTGAGAAAAAAATGATAAAAATTTCATATGGGTACAATCTTGCATGACTGCGCAATTGTCAAAGTGCGACAGCGCTGAAAGCTGAAAATTGGCCTGGTAAGGAATGGGGTATAAGTGCCCGGTAGGCAAGTGGTTAACCCAGAAAATTGCCATTATTATTTCTAGGATTAGGCTCTCATTGACTTCAATGATATTCATATTAAGGATCTGAATTTTGGTCTTGTTTGATAAACCTATGGTTTATCCCTTGTAGGTTTTAAAAAGAGCAAGTATATTTTTCACTTAGTAACGATATACCTAAAAATGACTACTTAACCTGTTCCCACCCAGCCAATAGCAGAATGACGGCCGAGCGGAACTCTCATCGATCCGGGTGCGCATCATATGACGTCCTTCCCAGATCGTGCCTCCCAGGGCCGCACTGTGGCAAGATCTGTCACAGGCCGTGTACTTTGGACTGGCCCATTGCCAGTACCATGTGACCTGCTGTGACCAATCACAGCAGGACACATTACAATTGTAAACAATGGATGGTTTCCTTTCATGCCATCTATTGTATACAATTGGGTCACTAGCTGTGACTGGTCACTGGGCCAATCACAGCCCATCTGTGTCATGTGATTAGTCATGGCCAATCACAGCTAATCACAAAAAAAAAAAATGAATCTATTTCTTTCAGTTAAATGCGTGATTATAGCAAAGAAAATCTTTCTATAAACAATCATAATGTGTAAAAAAAAAAAAGTTACTTCCCTAAAGTAGTAAATTGTTATTATGGTAAACATTATTCTACTCTGGTCACAGTGTATCATGAGAAAAAAGTCTCAAAAAAAGAAAAACAATTTAATAAAACAAAAAAAATTATAAAAGTAGAAAAAAAGAGTATTATTACTTTTTTTTCATACTGTCACCAGTCATTGTCCCTGATCACTGCCATGCCAAATTTAGTTTGGGTACAGCGTTGCATGACCATGCAATTGTAATTCAAAGTGTGAGAGCGCAGACGGCTGAAAATTGGCCAGGGCAGGAATGGGTAAAAGTGCCCAGTATTAAAGTGATTAAATAGAATTATTTTTCTTGCCTTTGTTTACACTTATTTGCTAATTCCTGCTAGCATTCACTAGAATTGTTACATTGTATCTCTTGCTATGCATTTCACTTGCTCCCCAGCTTTGTCTAGTTGCCATAATGTGGTCTTTCATTACTGCCCATAACAAAAAAAACATTAGTTCACAAAAAAAAAATTGCCTAATGGCCATACATTTTTTTTTTTTAAAATAGACCCCAAACAGTATTGGAATTGATCATAGGAATGGTCCAGCTTTCTAGTAAACACTCTTTTTGAAGCATTTCAACATATGTGTTCAACAGTTGACCTGCTGTAAATATATCATGGACAGAAGAAAAGGCTTTGCAATAGTTAGCATTAACTTTGCAATATATTTAATAATATCGCAAGTCAGGAGCATATAATGCATTGCTATGAAAAATAGTCCTCGGCACATGCATTTCTTTTTGCAACATCATAAAGACAGAATCTATTCACATAAGAGCACAAATACACAAAGCATTTATGAACCCTTAGCTTGAAAAAGTGGAAAGCATGTGCATGCATGTGGTTACACCAAGGGTGAAAAAATAAATGCATCCATTAGGAACTAACTATTAAAGTCTAACATTCACAGTACATTTTAAGGAACTGAGGATAAGGTACAGCCATTGAAATAGTTGTAAATTACTTCCATTAGGTGTCAATCATAATTCTTTTGTGCACATTGACTACTCAGCTCCTGGGATTTTCATAGCCTAGAATTTAAGTCATATGAATATATCTTGATGGTGATTTGGGCATAACTTAAAGTGCACCAGTTGTGTAATACTGAAAAATCTACCAATATTACCAGAGTTTGACTAAAAACTATATTATAAATCTGTCACTTACACGCATAGCTGTAAACTTTCAAACTGCAGATTATGATAGCAAATTATACTTACTGACTAAAGAGTGATGTTCAGAACAGACTAATTAACAACAGTTGGGAGAGTTACATTGGTAGTCATCCTGCACTCTTTCAGTCAGTCCAATTCCTCTATGAATAGACAAAGTGTCTTCATGATAAATATATCTTTTTGTGATATACCATGTGAATTCCCAAAGAAAAATAAATAAAATAAAACATAAAGTGTCCAATTCAATTTCAGTCTCAAATGTGTCCAATAAAGTCCAAAATCCAAATTTTCAACTTCAATCCAGTAAGAAGGATTATAATCCTAATTATTCCAAGAAAACCTCAGAAAAAAAGAAATAATCTATAGTGCATTACCTTTAAGCATATAAATAACACACCAATCCATGCAAATCACAAACCACTCTTTGCAAAACACATAAAAAAAAAAAAATATATATATATATATATATATATATATATATTAAACCGACGCAAGTGCTTGCAATAGTCCCCTTTAGGTAGCCCAGCTACCTGTCAATGACAAATCAAAACTCAGCACTCAGCAGATCCGCTGCAGACAGGAGACAGCAATCCACTCAGAAAAAAAGAAGCAGCTCAGCAAGCCTCTGGTCATTGAGAGGCATTAGAATAAAAGGAGCAGCTAAAGAGACGTCCGTATCCCTTCAGATGAAGTCCGGAAGTGACGAAACGCGTTAGAGATGTGACGTCAAGACGCATGCACGCTAACCGGAAGTGTCGCCGCGGCCATTTTGTTGGTTGCCAACACATGGTTTTCAGCTAGTGTTTGCAGAGCTGTTACAGAGCCACTGAGAAAGCCATTGAGGGAGCTGGAAGTTCCTTATTGTGATGTAAGTTATGAATAAATTTGTCCCTATACTTTGAGATCTGTCTAAGAGTCTTCTTGCTTTTATGAGGACTTTGGAGGAGTACCCCTGAAGCGAAGGAATGGGAAGAGTCTGATTCCATAGTATTGACTATGCATATGAATACTCACAGAGGGTAATAGTATTTAGCATCACTGTTGGTTGGATCACAGAGTACACATAATATTGGAGTGATCACAGAGTGCTCACGTTTTTGGTTTAATATATATATATTTATTTATTTATTTTTTTATGTGTTTTGCACAATTAAAGAGTGGTTTGTGATTTGCACGGATTGGTGTGTTATTTATATGCTTAAAGTTAATGCGCTATAAATTATTTCTTTTTTCTGAGGTTTTCGTGGAATAATTAGGATTATAATCCTTCTTACTGGATTGAAGTTGAAAATTTGGATTTTGGACTTTATTGGACACATTTGAGACTGAAATTGAATGACACTTTATGTTTATTTTATTTATTTTTTATATTTTTCTTTGGGAATTCACGTGGTATATCACAAAAAGGTATATTTATAATATTGTACTTTCTAGGGAGAAAGTGTGACTTTTTGGTGGGAGTTGAGTCAAGGAGGTTATTTATTCAAAAGTGTCTTCATGGTGAGTGCCAACACTTTCGTTTAATGGTAGATACTTAGGTCCAACTACATAATAAAGCCATAATAAACACATTATTTATACTTTTATCAGGTAAAATGCCGTACAAACCATTGTACAAACATTGTTACTACTGGATTACATAATCCAAATATCAATAGCTCAGCTACAATGTTCATACTCCTGCAGTAAACTGGAGGGCATAGTGCTATTGGTCAAACCTGTTCCGCCCGCCTTTCACTTCACAGAAAAAGATACAGTTGGTATCTGATGGAGCTATGCCAGTACAGATAATGCAAAAGGGGTGGTTTATCTGTGTTTATTGCAAATCCTATCAATGTTATTGGAAGTCATTATGGGGGAAAAGCTGCTACCTTGCCTAGGGCCCCATTCTGCCTTAATCCATCGCCAACTACAATAATGCTTTTAAGAAAATGCATACTCCTCTTTTTCTCTTTTAGTAAAATCCCCATTACTGAGACATTATTCCATTGTCAAGGCTATGTTGTCAATCACAGAGAGTTGCTGTAGGTCTACCATGTATTTAGAAGTAATCCGATTCAATAGTGGCAAAGTAAGATTAACCACACTATCTATATGTGTAGATGGAGTAAAACCAGTTTTATTTTTTATGTCATGTTTGATGTGGTTCAGATATTTAATGAACTCTTCCTTAATGCTAACATGGAAATAGAAAGCATGTACTTTCCAATGATTAATGACTGGCAGAAGCAAAATTCAATATACATGAATCATTACTCTGTTCTACATATCAGTCTTGAGACACGTGTGAAGATTTAGATTTACCACAGGAAAAGCGTAGCTTTTTCCAATACATTGTAATGATTTTACACCATTCAAATTGCATTCTGTAGTTAGATTTAATCATTTTTTTTTTATAATTCTTTAGATATATTCAGGTTTATTATTAGTATTTTCCTAGAGCATGTACTGTATATACATTCACTGTAATGGAATTTGTTGTTAAATGTACTGCCTGCTCCATATGTCACTATTAAATATGGATTCAGCATG